CGCGGAAACGGAAGTGTTACATACAAAGTGAAATACAGACGGACGGACAAACCAAAATTAATATCCCCCACTTTCAGTGAAAGCGGGAACAAAAATATATTTAATATATATTCTGAAACATGATGGATGATAAATAAAGTCATTTTTGTTAGTCGAGGGTAATTTTTTTTTTCTGAAGTTGGAATATACTGTATAACAAGTAGTTCAGATAGCAATGGTTTTTTTTTAGTCAATTGAAAAATTATCTTGTATGAATTTCACAAAAAAAAAAAACACACACACACACACACTATATTACCTCTTCAAAACCTCAGGAAAGCTTTTAAGTTTCACGTTTCCTAATCCTTACTCACTGAGAGACCAGTGTAGATTCACCGACAATTTACCTGAAAGAAAAACGCGCTTATTATTACTCCCTTGCAATGGATTTGGAGGGTGTATAGAGACGTATGTGCGAATGTATACGTATATTTGTTTGTTCGAAACGGAAGTGATGTAATTTGCATCGGTATTGATGTTAAATGCTGAATTTTATGGCCTCAGGGGTTCTGATGTTAGGGCGGGGCTCTATTGTTTATATAGTGAAAATACATTAATTATTCAAAAATCGTCTTCTCTGCTCCTGGTTATTAAAAAAATTAAACAAGTAGTTAGTTATGTTACAACAGGCTGCTTCTTCCAAATTTTTGAATTTTATGGCCCCAGGGTCAGGGGTTCTGGTGTTAGGGCGGGGCTCTATTGTTTATATAGTGAAAATACATTAATTATTTAAAAATCGTATTCTCTGCTCCTGGTTATTAAGTAAATTAAACAAGTACATAGTTATGTTACAATAGGCTGCTTCTTCCAAATTTTTGAATTTCATGGCCTCAGGGTCAGGGGTTCTGGTGTTAGGGCAGGGCTCTATTAATTATGTAGTGAAAATGCATAAATTCTTCAAAAATACTCTCCTCTGCTCCTGGTTATTAAACCAATGAACTATGTATATAGTTATGATGAGGAAGGATGCATCACCCAAATTTTTGAATTCAATGGCCCCAAGGTCAGGGGTTCTGGTGTTAGGGCGGGACTCCAATGATTATATCGAGAAAATGTATAAATTTTTGAAAATCTTTCTCCTTTCCTACTGGGTATTATGTCAATGATCTTAGTACATATTTATGATAAAGAGAAGTGCCTCTTTCAAATGGTTAATGAAGGGCCCCTTGGTCAGGGGTAACGGGGGTGGGGTGGGGTGGGGTTGGGGTTTACATAATCTTAAAATAAATGCTTTGAAATCGGCTCTTTGGTATTTAATCAACCGTTTATGATGAATGTAATTTATGAATAATTTTCAAAAAATTGAAATATGTGGCCCAAGGGTCAGTGGTTCCTGTTGGGTGTGGTGCACAACTGGGTATAAAGTGGAAATGCATTTTCTCTTCGTTACTCTGTATTAAGTGTCTCTTTCAAAATTGTGTATTTCATGACCGCTTGTTCAGAACAAGAACCCAATTTGATTACTGAAAGTTGTTACATGATGCTCAGGTAACCGATGAGGCCCATCGGCCTCTTGATTGAAAGTATTCTCTTTAAAAACATGAATTTGTATATTTTTTTAAAGAACAGACTTCCTATATCTGCCAGTCGGTAGAGCGCTCGCTCGGTGTTCGGTAGGTCGAAAAATTCATTCTTGATCGCGACTGACCTAAGACGATGAAAATGGGTAGTAACTGTTCCTTCACCATGCGCTCGGCACTTTGAAGTGAAAGTTGTGGATATTTCGCATTAGACCTTAAAACCGAGTGTCACAGCAGGCGTTGGCGGGATCAAGATCCCTCAATGCTCAATGGCTCTGAGTGCCGCGTAAAAGGTCAAAAGCCATTCACCAGTATATGGCTACGTCTCTTTACGAGTGTAAAATTCTTGAATGGGACGTAAAACAACATATCAATCAAACCTTTAGCTGCATCTTCCATCACATTTTTTTATCATGTTTATAATCGTTGTAACATGAATCAAAAAATTCCTTTGAATATGATATATTCAACGCCTTCTAAACTAGAATTATAAAAACAGACCGACAAAAATTTTAATTTTTTGATTAAGATATTGTATTTTTCAAGCGTTTAATGTAGTGAATTTGGGCGATTATAAAATATGGACAATTTTTCGTAGTTTTCGTACACAATGGCAAATAAAATTCCAAATTACCCGCCCCTCAATGTAGGTGGCGCGCGCACCGATTAGGTTCAACACTCTTCTCGCCTCTAAGACAAAAGATTACTTTCAGTAACCTTCAGCGTTATCGTCATTACAACATTCGGATTAATAGTTATCAAATGGCTGACTACGGTTCGTGGAGTCTTAAAGATATTTAGAGTGAACTTCATCGACGGAATGCTCGAGTTCGGGTCGAAAACGAGAGCTTGTTGAAAGGTCTGGTCGACGTATCATTTTTAACCATAATTTCCTCGGGCAAATACCAATCGCCATTAGCATAAAAACATGGTATTTAAATGATTTAATAAAATGAAATATGAATGAACTTTTACAATCAGGTCCAGCACGATACCCCGATAAAGGTATATAGCCAATTGATAAAGCTATATGGCTTTTAAAAAGGTATTTAAAATACCTTAATCAAGGTATTTTATGTAATGAAAATTTAAAAAAAAATCTTTAGAAATTAAATACTGAAAGTCGAGTTCTGAGTTTTTTGTCAGTGGGTCTACTCTTGCATGAAAAACACTCTGGTATCAAAAAGAAAGCATAAAATAACGTCTCCTCACAAAACATGTTTTTCTACTGATTTCATTGTGTTTGAGTAGGCCTACTTAAGTACTTTACATGTATGGGTGAATTTACTGAAAACAACTCAGAATTAACTCGACTTTCAATAATTAATTTTTAACGAATTTTCTTGAATTTTCATTAGATAAAATACCTTGATAAAGCTATATACCTTTATCGGGGTATTGTACTGGACCTGACAATATTACAAATTATTGAAAATGAATTACCTCTATTTTATTTTTTTTTCTTACTTAAAAAAAAATAACTCCACACAAAGTCTCGTACACATATTATCAGAGACGTCCCTATCAGCTGATCAGACAGTTCTGGTACAATCATTAGATTTGGATATGGAACTTGTATTCTACTGTGACATAGCTTAGTTTTGCTTACTTACCTGAAGTATTTTTCTAGCCATTAAATTATACTTTTTCTTAATTTAGAATTTTTCTAGCACATGATTGTGTACAGTTTCATATTCTCAAACAGTAGAAATACATCTTCAATTTTTTGTTCATTTCAACATTATTTAAAAAAAAATATAAATTGTGATAAGTTGCATCAAAATAGCTAAATGAAGCTACAAGTACTTCAAGTAGCTAATCAGGCTACAACAGGCAATTCAAGCTACATAGCTAAATCAAGTGTGTTTGTACCATTCCAGACCAGGAGCACTACATTAAAAAAATGAAAACAATGTCATGTATTTACATGTACATTTTGATTTACATTTTCAGACAAGAGGCATATGATAGAAAAAAAAACTTTGATAACAGAGAAAATGTTGAGAGAGAGTATGAAATGAAAGTGCCAAATTATGACCAATATAAAGATATTAACAAGGACACACAACTCACACCACTTAAGCAAGAGGCTATTGCTGCATATTTAGGAAAAATGGGGAAAAGTGGGGATGATCATGTGAAATATATTTATGAAAGCAAGTTTCTGAAATATGTGCGCTTGGCGTGTGATATTGGTATGTTTTATGTGAGAGATGAGTGTTAAGCAGAGATGAAGAGGAGTATTTCATATAAAGTGGATGCATGTGTGGATGTTGATGGGTGTGTCGTGCAATGCCAATGTGAATGTACAGCGGGGATGGGTCCGTCAGCTGTGTGTAAGCATGTTTGTGCTGTTTTATTTGCCTTGCAAATGTTTAGTGAATGTGGTGACATTTTAACTGAAGAAACCTGCACACAACACCTTCAAACCTTTCACCAAGCTAAAAGATACAAGGGTAGTCCAATCAAAGCCAAGGACTTGCCTTTGGCAAATCAAGACCTAAATGTCAACTTTGATCCAAGGCCAAGAGAATTCCGCAGTACACCTGGTTATCAAAATGCTTTTCGAAACGTGTGGCTCAATCATCCAAACATCAATTCTTTCCCTGTCTTTCAACTCTTTCCATTTGCAAACACAATAGCTTTAGATAAAGATCATGATTACCTACAATATTCTCTTTCTGACAACTGGTAAAGGAACATGAACATTACAAATATATCCGATGAAGACATTGTGAAGACAGAACAACTGACATGTGGACAGAGCACCAATCTTCTGTGGCGCACTGAGCGTAGAAAGAGAATTCATTCTTCTAACTTTGGGAAAATTTGTAAAGCCACAGAGAAAACTGACTTTAATAAACTAGCAAATAATTTGACAAAACATTCACCACAAATATTTGCACCTGCTATTCTTCATGGTAAATGCTATGAATCTGTTGCATTACAGGAGTTTCAGGACAAATCTGGGATACAGGCCAACAGTTGTGGTATTTTTGTGTCTAAAACACATCCCTACTTAGCTGCATCACCTGATGCAGTCATTGATGATAATGAGTTAATTGAAATCAAATGTCCCTACACAGCAAAAAACAAAGAAATCTCAGAAGATTCTGTCTGCTATCTGAAATGTATAAATGATAAACTTGAGCTTGACAATTCACATGACTATTATTATCAAGTGCAAGGACAAATGTTCTGTTCAGGAAGAAATGAATACACTGTTGTAGTTTACACTCTGAAAGACATGAAAACAATCAAAATATATAGAGATGAAAGTTTCATAGAAAAGATGCTGAAAAAACTGGAAAAATTCTTTGAAAAGCATTTCTAGAGAGCTGTTTTAGATAGGTTTTACTACCATCAAATGGATTAAATCATGTTGTTAAATGTTCATAAACAAATTAAATGATATTTTTGGAATGATATTTAGAGTTTAACTCATTTTCTTTCCTACAATATACAATGTTTGTTAACTTGATAAACTTAAAAATTTACTACAGCTACATACTGTTCCTGCAGGTCTTAAAAGTAAAAAACAAGTCTTAGAGATGTTTGTAAAACAATAATGCCCCCCCCCCTCCCCCAAATAATTGGAGTTTTTCTAAGTCCAAGGGGCATAACTCTGTACAAAATCTTTAGTGAATACCCCTGGTATGTATTTAAAGATTATAAATTTCAACAAAATGAAATTGCAGAATTAATTCAATCTAAGACTAAGAGCCTGTATAAAGAACCAATATTTTTTTTTTTTTTTTTTGCAATTATAGTTTTAGTAGCAGATAAATCCTCATTATTGAACCTTTATATATTATACAAAATATATCCAATGACAACTGTTACTACACATGTATTTCAAATCTTGGATAAAATTGATTCATGCATGTCTAGATACAATGCACTTTCTAAAGTTGCACAGGGTAAAACAGATAAAAGCAATTTCACTGGCCAATTTTGTCTCTGTAGAGTTTAAGGGTCTTTTCAGTATTTTATATGTTTTTGCAAGTCCTATCAACCTTTCTATATGCACCCGTTTGCTGGATATCTTTCTGTCTCTTAAAACAGTTTTATTAGACATACGATTTTTTTTTCCTGAAAAAGGTTGGAATATTTACTTTAACATCTTTGGGGGCGAACAGATCCTGGACGTTAAAGCCTTTATCGGACATAATCAAGTCCCCGGGATCACAAATATTAATTAGAGGGCTGCGCTCCACGACTTGCCTGTCACTAGTGGACCCTCCATAGGCTGGGGGAAATGTACGATATAAGTCCACCAGGAGTAGCACCTACAAGTACTTTTACAGTATTTCTGTTTTTGTAAGTAGAAAAAGTGGATTGTTGGGCAATGGGAGGTTTGGGTTTTTTGACTGGAATCTCTGTACCATCAATTATAACTCTTGTCGAAGGAATTTTTTCAAAAAAGTCACTTGGTGAATAAAAACTGACGGTGTCTCTGTGAGGCCAGAATTTAATTTCTCTGAATTGTCTCGCCATAAAATTTACCCAGGTTATCCAAATATTGTCTACTGTAGTTTTCGAAATTCAAAATAGACGGCTTAATTCATAGTTGGTTTTGTTTTGTCTTAGCTTTATCAAAGTTAAAAAAGTTGGTTTTCAATAGATAAGTTTTGAACTTGGTTATACAAATATCCAAGATTATAAGCAGCAGGACCTAAACAATGAAGTACAAAAAGAAAATCTAAGTGTGAAGCAAGGCCTGTGTAGAACATTATTCCCTCACTGTCATGAATGAAGTCCTCTACTGACATCAAAGGGGTAGGAAACGTTTGCGTTGAGGACTCTGCATACGAAACATCTTTTTCTTCCGCCTCGGCTAAATGTGATTCATCAGTAGACGGTTCACCAATCGTTTCTTCAACATTTACAGTATAAAATTCATCATCCACATCCATCAATATATCTACAGGTTCTTCTGTCTGTCTCTCCTCTTCCGTCTTAACACTGCGTGCTGCTCTTCTCTCACTTCTTTCATCATTTTCCTGTTTGTTGCTCCACGGAAAAATTGATGGTACTGCTTGTGCCTCTCTTTGTTTTTTCAGAGGATCAGTTCCTAAAACAATTTAGTTTTAACTTATTAGTCATTTTTATATCTTGAAAAATGGAGTTCATAAATGTTCTATATGTAGTATATATATGTTATAGCATTTGATCAATTTTATAAAAATCAATTCATCTATATTTTGATATATCTATTTATATCTATATCTATTTACACATTCATTTCTACATTAATAGAAGAATAAATTAAATTAATCAATAATGATATATATCTTATCCTCTCCGATATGAAATCCATTCCGCCATCAATCCCCTGATCTTGATGTTTTCTTTTATCAGCTCAACATGTAACTGGCATGTCGACTTATTTCCGATGGATGATTTATGACAATACAAAATAGCCATAAAAAGGCAAACTTTTTAACATATTCACAAGTTTGACCATTTCATTGCATATTTTGAATCTGTCAATATTTTCATCTGTATGTGGGCATCCGTCTCGTGAAAAAATAGTAAAATGTTATTTTAATTCATCTATAGGAACAAGATCAATTACATTACATAACTCAAACAAAATATGTAAAAATGTTTAAAGCTTGTTTTCACAATTTTTCTGTTTGTATTTGATAAAACTGTCTGTAGCATAACAATGCATAGGTATATTCCAAAGCTTTATAAATCAGCGAAATCTTCATGAGATATAAATATCTTGTTACCCCCACCCCTCCCTTTCTCTCCGGTGAAAACAACCTACTATTTTGCAGATAAATAATACGTAACTGATTTAAAATTAAATTAAATAAAAATAGTTTTGAAATACCAACTACATTTAACAAGTAACTTACCGTGCGAAGTTACTGGAATGAAGTCATCTTCACGGAAATGTTTATGGCACACCACACTGTGCGGTTGGGGGCACCAGTGTTTATAACGGTATTCGGCACTGTTTCTTTTTATAGCTAAAACCCAAAGCTTCCTAAGCTTCTTGTCCTTTGGGAATTGCAAACCACCACGGGTTGAACAGCCAGGAGTGCAGCAGCAAGTCGGCATTTTGATTGAAATGCAATACGAATGTCGGAATATTATAACGCTTTCCTAATACTGGAAGTCTGTGTGTTGAACCTAAACGTTCGTTCGAAGCGCCGCCTATATATTAACAAAGGGGAAAAACCGACAAATATCGATCATTATACTAAAATAACCCGATATATAAAATAAATACGAGTATAACTGTCTTTGCATATTAATTCATTTATTCTTCCTGACGTACCAAACACGTAAAATATCAAAACTAGCATTGATCTGTAACGCTTTCGTTTCCACAAGATATCTCTAGAACCCTTTGAGCTTTCGCAATGAAATTTTGCTTATCAACTCCCTAAAGACTAAAGAAGAACCCTATTGATTTTGAGGTCCAAAGTTCAAGGTCATAAATTCGCAAATTCTGTCCGATAGAACAATTTCCTTTCCGCGCGATATCCCGAGAACTCTTTGAGCTTTTGCAATGAAGTTTTTAATAACTCCCTGTGACCTAAGGAAGACCCGTATTTTTCTTAGGTAAAAGGTCAACGTTCAATGTCGTAAATTTATACATTATGTCTGTTTAAGTAGTTTTTATTGTTTTACATGTCGCTATTTTAAGCACAGGGGCATGAGGAGAGTTATTACGTATAAAACAGGTTCTCGGCGGACTTTATATTCTAATTACATTAGAACTGTTTAATAAAGGTTAAATTAGACACCATGCATTGTGTAAAAATTTGACAATATCGAACGTAAATATATAAATACATGCTTTGCATATAATTTCGAAAGTTTAAAGCAGTTCCGTGGTCTAGTGGTATGTCTCTCGCTTCACATGTGAGAGTTCATGGGTTTGAATCCCGAACGATCCATTTACTTTTTTTCGAGATACTTTTTTTTTTACTAAATGATAGTATTCAGCATGTGGAATGAACAATTTATGAGGTCTGGCTTGTATAAACTTATAAAATCATCATTACAGTGTGATAAATATTCCATATAAAAAGAATCTTCTATACGCATAATAAAAAATAAGCAAATCTTTATATGCATATTGACATGTATTTTATTTCCTTCAGTATACATGTAAACATTAAATAATTCTTTAATTCAATCCAGGGGATCCGACTTTTTCCCTAAGCTGGGGACACAAATTCTCTGAATTCCTTTGTTTTTTCTTGTGTGTGTGAGAGAGGAATCTTGTTTAAGTAGCTATACTTTAATGACAAATTCTTTGGAAATTTTAGAAGAACGTGTCGTCTGGCCTTAATGAGCAAGAACAAACCAACTATTTGTAACATTTATAAACCCATATAAAGTCCATTCTATTTATGACGGCAATAATTACAAAACTTGTGTGTTACCTTAAATCTGACTGAAGAAAACCCATTCATAAAAGAGGTAGGCGGAAATAAAACTTCTTTCAAATTTATGCTATTTAACTTTTTCAGAATGAATCATATACTTCGACTATCAGAGTCGGTCTATACTGGACTGTGTCTTGAAGTAGGGACTCCTACAAAAGTTAGGATCAGAAGAGAGGTGATGGACACTTATTATCTTTCGCAGAGACTCAAGCACAAATTTAACAAATTTGTGAATAAATGGAGTGGGAGTAAGAGTGAGGGATTCAGACTAAAAACTTCAGATGATGATTTCATGTGCTGGCCTCTAGATCACAAGGTAACCTGTGAACTCTCCTTGATTAGTTTCTACTATCAATTAATTCCCCATACTACTGTCATTTTGATGGAGTGTGATGATCTACCACCTGGATTTACCAGACTTAATCTAATAAGTCTATCATCTAATACAAACATCAGATCCGTTTGTGAAGCTAAAAATCAGAAACTTTATATCTCTAGCGTATTATTCCGCGATGGGAATCTCTCACTGAATAGATATGATTGTTCAACCATTCGTACTATCCCTCATGGACCTTGTTATACGTATTTGTATAAAGGTGGAGAAATAGACTTTGTGTGGTGCTTTCATTCGGAGGAATGGCCAAAAAATGCTTTACCATGGATACAGAGATGTCGTCAACACAACTGGCCCTCGGAGATTGTTATATCGGAAATATTAACCAAGGGATTCCATGTTGTACCGATTGGCAGCACACCTGAAAATGGAGAAGAATGGAGAATCTCATTCTCGCAAGCGGAACAAAAACTTATTTACTCCATGAACCACTGTCAGTTTTTGTGTTATGGTCTCTTAAAAATTTTCCTCACAGAAGTAATTAATTTTCAAAATAGTACGCCAGTTCTTTGTTCATATTTCATGAAAACAATTGTATTTTGGGTGATGCAGACTAATAATTCGTTGATATGGACACCTGAAAACCTGTTGTATTGTTTCTGGGCATCCTTTAAATTATTGATATCCTGGGTACGTATTGGAAATTGTCCAAACTTTTTTATTCCACAAAACAACATGTTTAGAGTGAAAGTCATTGGTTCTGTACAAACTTCATTGTTCAGTCAGTTGTATAATTTGTATTGTAAGGGGATATCCTGTCTACTATTAAGTAAAACTATGAGACCATACCTAAGTTTCGCAATTTTAAACAGAACATTGATACTGACAATTTGTACACTTGCAAGCGAGTGCTGTATCAGATGTAAAAGGAAGTTAGACTTCAGCTTGTATTTAGAACTAAGAAAACTATATTTTGTCATAAGTTGTACTGAAGAATTCTATCTTAACATGCTACAAATAGAGCGATTGGTTAGGAAAAATTTGACGCCGTTTCATGCAGTAACATTACAATATATAACATCGTTGGTGTTACGTGCCACTGCCATTATGATTCAGAATAGAGTTTATCCAATTAAAACCCACAATAAGGTTTACTATTCAGGTAATAAAGCATCCAGGTTGTTAAAACTTTCATGTACGTTAGGTTTTGTTTCAGACATTTTATATCTTGCTATTAACTTCTACAGAACATGTAATTATGAACAGTCACTCAGTTGTTTAAAGAGAGCACAGGAGAGAATTAATGTGCCGTATATTATGTATAGAGATCATATAAGTGCAAAAGATGTGTATAGTCGTAAGATAGCGATGCTTTCTTTGAATGATAAATTGAAAAGAGCTTTTGTTACAGATATTACAATATCGGTAGAATATATTTATATTGACGAGCTAGAGCTAGAACGCAAAATCTGCATCAAGAATGGGTTGCTTTATTTAATGATCCCGCCCCTAGTGATGTTACAAATGTTATTGATACTGAATCATAGCAAACTGGGTGACGCAGACAGAACACAGAAACTTCTACAGGATCTACAGACTTTAATACTCAGTGATAATGGATTCTATGTACCACATGAACTCAGAGATATTTCATGGCAAATACTAGGTATCTGTCAACAAATTTGTGGGGACTATTCAGGATCTCTGCGGAGTTATCAATACTCGTTACAGCAAAAACCATGTCACATGATTAAGGAAGCTACAATATTTAGAATGAACACACTCCCAAACGGAGCATTCGAATTGTTTATATGAGTGCATCTGCATAAAAAGCATTATTCGTAAATCCACTTTAATTGCCTCTGTTTCTGCTTTGCCAAAATGAATTATTATATTGTGGTATATACAGAAGAGAGATATTCCAGAAATAACATTTGAAAATTAATTAAGTAATGTTTTCAATAATTTGAACCTTTAATTTGTTGTTTTTCTATGATACTTTTTTTAATAAATATACATCAGGATTCAATTACAGATTTCATTAACGATTTTTAAATAAAGCATTTTTTTAATTTAAGAAATAAACAACAGTGTTGAAAAGTTCACTTGGGAATAAACTTGTTTGGTCACGTTATCAATTAATTTGATCATGTAAAAAAAATTAGCCTCGCTCAAAAATTTGAATATTTACATTGAGCTGTCAAGTTCGGGAAATCTTCAGGGGATACATACCTTCAAAGAAATTTCGGGTATAAAAGGTAAGCGCGATTAAGGCGTTCTTTTTTCAATTTTTCACACTGAAAAAAGATCTAATGAACATTTGTTGAATGAAAAAAAAATCCGTAAGTTTCAATAATTTTATCTTTTTTATCCTTATCAACTTGGAAGTCATCGTGACAGAAATATTCACGCAAAATATCATCTTGTCGATTGATTTGGTATGACCTCCGACACCCCCCCCCCTCCCCCCTGAACCCTCATAAGTTCATATAGAATTGAAAATGTTTTCTCTTCAATAGGATCACAGAAAAATACTTGCAAATGTAAATTTTTAAATAAGTCTTTATGATTTTATGTCAAAGTGTTTGTCATTATCCGATAGCCATACCTTGATAAAGACAGAATAACCGCATCTGCTGGGTACAAGTCATTTCGGTACCTGGTGAATTCAGCACTCAAAGAAAAAATTAATTCGGCATCTAGTGAATTCGGCGCCTAGTGAACTCGGCACCACAATCTGGTTAATTCGGCATCAGATTCTTACGGTGGCTGGTGGAGGATATGGTGTAAAATTTTTATTTTATTAATTTGTGACCACGAAATAAAATTCGTGGGAACGAAATAAAAATTCGTGGAAACGAAATAAAAATTCGTGGTCACCAAATAAATTCGTGGGAACGAAATAAAAATCTGTGGCCACGAAATAAATATGTGGGAGCAAAATACAAATTCGTGGTTACGAAATAAAATTCGTGAGGATTATGCATTATTTATGAAAAGAAACTCTGATCATGTCTTTGGCAATTAGTTACTTTTTATATATTTAAAGAGCGATATATGATAAGTGTCTCAATTGGCCCCTTAAAATGAATGTCTTAATTTTACTTTATATATAGCTTTAATTTGTACAGCTATATATGCGACCTTTATTGGTCATTTTCATTTTGATCAAAATGCCGTTATTTTAAAAATATGACCTCATAAAGATCACGTTTTCCCGCCATTTTAACAAATTTTGTGTAAAACTGCTTATTTTCAAGCAGTTTTTCTTCCAGAAAATATAGAGCGCAGCCTAGAACAAACTTTATATTTTTACCAAAGATGTA